CTAATTAAGGATCCCAGACTCTTGTCCTTATTTTAAAAAAAATTCTATTTTATGAAATGCAAAGAGATCTTTACAAGGAAATCACAATACCACTTTAATTTTTCTCCTGTTCTCTTCTACCTAGTAACAGGCAATGTAAATTTTGATTCTATTGATGGTCAGATGCAGGATGACAAAGAATATTTCACTGATCTACCCTTTCCCAATTTCCATATGCAAGAGTTAGTTCTCATGAGAATGGCTTCAACCATGTTTTGTAGGAGATGAAAACGGAAACTTCCCAGAGAAACCATCACCTTTTAAATACACTTCCCAGTCTTCACACTTCAGGGCCTCTGCGTTCTCTGTCCATTTGAATCTCATTCAACATCAACTTTGAAGAAGTTCTTCTTTCCCCTAGAGATTATTGTCAACCCCTCCCAGACTGTATGCTCATGAACTAGGCTTCATGAAATTTGCTGTAGGTTAGGAGGAGCCCCACATTTTTGCGAGCTGAGTAACTGGGGCCCTTTCTTGTCTCCCCTCCAGATGGCGCACTAAGCCCGGGCTGAAACTTCAGCGGCACTCCCACCCCTGGCCGCCCCAGCCTCAGATTGAAGAAAAAAAACGAGATCTTTTGTAAAAATTCTATCACAGTGTTGGAAAAGCAGAAGGAATAGGAACCGAGAAACCAAAATCCTTCCCCAAGCAAGAAGCTACAAAGAACAGGAATAACCATGAAAGGTCTATGAAGCACAGAAAAAAAGAGGGTGGCATGCTGCTGAGGGAAAAAGGTATCAGTGGTCACATCAAGAGCTAGATATCACATGCTGCAGGCAAGATGAACCCACTGGTGTGGCAGTGAGGGTAAATGAACACTCTTGATCGGATCTGAGGCCAGCAGAGCAGGAGGACTCATGCCTGGCATTTTAAACATGGTCGGTCAAAAAACATGGGCCCTGGGGGAGAATATAATGATATTTTTCTATAGTCATGTTGTCAAGCTGCTGCCTTCTAAATATTTCTGTTTCTGCCCATAGCTTTGTGCTTCTTCCAGCCTTGCTCAGAGAAGCTCTGGTTGTAGCGGGTAGTGGCTAGTGCAGAGAGGCGTTACTGTTCAAAGTACTAAGGGTTAGTGATTGTGTTCACCGGAATCAACCCTTCCACCCCAAGGCTCAGGAAACAACATGGAATGGGGTATGGAAAGAATCTAAGTGCCAGAAGATGAGGAGCACTGTGGCACGCTATCCTCTGGACAGGGCATGGCTTTTGCTCGCATGCTCAAAGCGCCTGTGGTTACCTACAAGAAACTCGCATGGGATCAAACCAGCTAAAACTTGGGAACTGCGGAGCTGTTGGAAGTGTAGGGAGGGAGGAAGTTGAAGCAGTTGCTGAGGGAGGGAGAATGTGACCACTGCTGATTTCTCCATTCGGAATGACTCCATGCCCATGCGCACAAGGGAAAGACTACTGGGACTCTGTAGGTTAAAAACAAATTACAAACCACAACAGGAGGTCATGAAGTTGGGCCGGAGATGTCTATCCTGGGAGAAGTTGGGGAGGGAGCTTGAGAAGTGGATATGCTCAAGACACGTTGTATGTATGTATGGAAGATTCAAACAATAAATAAAATTTAAAATGAAAAAAGAACTGCAGAGAAACTGGGTAGGAGAAGCAGGAGAGGTCTCAAGAATGTAACTATGGCACCATTTTTATATTTCTACACAGTCACAGAACTTATAAATTACAAAGAAAAACATTCTATTCTTGTTAAATGTGGGGTTTCATTGTAATATTTTTCTACAAAATTATCTGACATTTTGTTTTTATTCACTCTCTCACCCATCTTTTCCATCTTTCTCCCACTCTTGCTGACCCCCTTTTCTCTTCCCAAGTGGTTCCCCATTCTGTTTTCTCCCTCTCCAACTTCCCCCTACCAACTTCATGCCCTCCATTTGTAGTTTTTCATTCATTAATTGATATTTTTAGTCGATTTTCTGTTCTGTATATTTCATTAGCCTCTCTTATACCACCATCACCTCTGTCTTCGTACTCTCTAATAGCTCCCTTCCTCCTTTCTTGGCTTAAACACACACACACACACACACACACACACACAAAACTACATTCTTCATGAGAGATAGTACACAGTGTTTTTCTTTTTTAACTCTGGCTTATTTAACTTCATATACTGATCTCCAGTGGAATTCATTTTTCTGTGGTTGAGAGCAGCTTGTTTTTCTTTAGAGCCGAATAAAATTCTATTATGTGTACATATCACATTTTCTTTATTCATTTATCTCTTGATAGACATCTAGGCTGGATCCTAATCTTGACTGTTGTGAACAAATCATGCAACACTAAATATTAATGTGCAGTGCTATACTGACTGGGAGCCCTTTGGGAGCTGTCTTAGTTTCTCTTCTTGTGGTGTGATGAAAATACAGTGATAAAAGCAACATAATGTAGAAATGGTTTGTTTTGGCTTGTATCTCCAGGTTACAGTGCATCATGACAGGACAATTGCAGCAGCAAGAGCTTGAGGGAGCTAGTCCCATCACATCTGCAGTCAAAAAGTGGAGAGCATGCTAGGATGTGAGTACTACCCACAGTGTGCACGTCTTCCCACCTCGCTTAGTGTATTTAATCCTCACAGGCATGCTGAGAGGCGCATCTTGCAGATGATCCTAGATTCTGTCAGGTTAACAGTTAACGATAGCCATCACAATGTACCAAAAGAACAGTATAGCTGGCCATATCAAAGTTCTATTTTTAGTTTTTTGAGAAACTTCAATAATGATTTCTGTGAGGAAGAAAGCAAATTATATTCTTCCCAGTGGCACATACGGGTACCTTTCCCCATCTCCTCATCCGCATTTGTTGTCATTGATTTTCTTAGTGATAGCCGTTCTGACTGAAGTGAGGTGGATCTCAGAACAGCTTTAATTTGTGTTTCACTGATGCCTAAGGATGCTGCACACTTGTTCAAACAGTTATTGGCATTTTGTCTTCCTTTCTTTAAGAGCTGCCCACTGAATTCATTAGCCCCTGTATTGATTGGCTGATCTGGGGCAGTCTTTAATTTTTGATATTCCTTATAAATTCTAGATATCAATCCCCAATTCAATATATAGCTGCAAATGATTTTTTCCCATTCTGTCTGAAGGCTGTCTCTTTGTTGTGCTGATGGTCTCCTTTGCCAGGCAGAAGTTTCGATTTCATGCAATCCCACTTGATCTTGGGACGATTTTCTGTAATATTTACAATGTTTTAAAAATATCCCTTCTTATGGCTGTATTTTAAATAGTTTTAAACCTAGGGCTTTTACAAACAGTTTCTGAGTTTCGGGTTTTATGTTAAAGTCTTTGTTACACTTGGATTGATTTTTTTTCCTGCATCTGGTTTCATTCTTTCATGTGTGTAGACCCAGTGTTCTCCGTGCCGTTTGTTGGAGGGGCTTTCTTCTAATGAGTGTTTTGACACCATTGTCAGAGCTGTAGCTGTGGAGGGTTATTTTGGGAGACTTCATTCTGTTCCATTGATCTACATGTCAGCTTTTGTGTCCGGGCCATGCTGTCTTTGTCACGAGGCTCTGTAATGTAATTTAAAGTTAGGTATTGTGGTGTCTCCAGCAGTACTCTGCCTATTCTACGTCCTTTCTCCTTCCATATGAATTCAATTTCTGGGAAGAATTTAATAGGAATTTCAATGGGGACTGCTTTGAAGCTGTGGGTCATTTCTGGTACATAGTGATTCTTCACAATATTAATTCTGTTAGCTCATGAGCATGTTTTTTTTTTTTCATCTTCTGTTGCCTTTTTCAATTTCTTTCTTTACCATTTTAAAGTTTTTCCTTATAAAGGTATTTTATCTCCTCAGTTAGGATGATTTTTATACATTTAGTTTTTTTGAAGTCCTATAGTGAGTAGGATTTTTTTCTGATTTCTTTCTCAGTAGGGTCACTATTGACTTATAGAAAAGCTACCAGGATTTATGTGTTGGTTTGTGCACTGCCATTTTGCTGTGTTCATTGATTCTGCGAGTTTTCTGATGGGGTCCTCAGGCAGGGCCATTTAATTATAGGATCATCCCATCTTCAAATAGACACTTTCAACTTCATCTTTCCCTACTTGCATTACTTTTCCCTACTTTTATTTCTTTCTCTGATCTTATTACTGCAGGTAAGATACTGAGCAGTATAATGAGTAAGAGCAGAGAGGGTTAGCACCCTTGATTTATGCCTGACTTTAAAGGAAATGTTTCCAGGTTTTGTCCATTTATTATATTGTCCGCTGTACATTTTCCTATATTGCTTTACTGTGTTGATGTTGATTCGTGTTCTTTCTTTTCTCGTTTCTCAAGGTTTGTATTCTTAAGGAAGGCTGAACTTTGTCAAAGGTTTCTTTTGCATCTATTGAGATGAACACATGATTTCTATTTATGCTCTGTATTATATTTATTGATTTGTTGTTGAACCATATTGACTTCCTTGGAATGAAACCAACTTAGTTGTGTTCTTGAATTCAGTTTTCAAGTATTTTATTGAAAATCTCCGTGTGTATGTTCAGCAGGAATATTAGTCTGTAGACTTCTTGCATTTTTTTCCCTATCGTTATGTGATTTTGACAGGGTGATTCTAGCTTTGTAGAATCAATTTGGTAGTGCTCCTTTGCTCGCTGTTTTTATGGAACAGTTTGAGGACACTAATGTTAGCTATTCTTTAAAAGATTGGTAGGCTGTTGGAGCATCTAAAACTTCCATTTCCATTGTTAGTATACACAACAAAGGCAGAATATAAAGGGTTTTGCATGTTGGACTTACATTAACTTCCTGTTCATTCACCTCACTAATATTACTTTTTCGTTCTTATTCTATTCTTGTAGATTTTTCATGTTATCTAAATACATAATTATTTCAACTTCAAAGACTTTTTAAAAAGTTTATTTCTTTCATTTTCTTTTGTGTGCCTGTTGTAGTCTTCTATTTCTTACTGTATTCAGTAGAATTCTAGTGTTACCTACCAGAGTTGTGAGGATGGATGTCATCATCCTGTCTTGATCTTCAGAGCAAAGCATTCAGTCTTTGAACACCACGGGAATGGCTGGATTTTATTCTGAGAGGAAGAAGAGAATATTGATGTACTGATGGCTGAACTGTGAGATCTGACTTCAGCCCCAAGAGAATCACTCCAACTGCTTCCAGAGGAGTAGAGAATTCCCCCTTTAGGGGAAGCAGAAGCATGAAGTGAGACCAATAAGGAAGTTATCTCCAAGTCCAGACCAAACCTGGTGACACCTTGCATTAGGGAGACAGCAGGAAGGATGTGTAGAAGAAGCTGAGTTTATTTCAAACAATTCTACAGGTCATGAGAGAAGGAATTAAGCCATCCCTGACTCCATATTATCCAAATTTTAAGTATTTGTATAGCATTTATAGCTATTTATGTTTTATTATATAAACACCATCTATTTTTATAAGAAATTATACATAATCTAGTAACTGTTGAGTTTATTTTTTTTAATTTTTACACAATTTCAGATCAACTATTCTCTCCACTCCATACTAGGAAGATTACAGGGATATAAGGATAAACAAAGCATTCTGCGTTTTGCAGATTCAAAGGCCAGTGAGAGGCTTTTAGCAAGAAGAAATTGCTTTTCATTTTATTCTTTTAAAATTTCAAACATGTATATAATGCAGTTTAACCATATTTATTCCCTCATTACCTTCTCTTATCCCCCCAATTCTTTCTGGACCCTTCTTTTTGAAATGTCCCCCTCCTACTTCCATGTATTTATTAGTATCTTGATGACCCAGAGTTTTAGTTAGAGTTGCTTTAGCAAGGATGTGGGGTTATTAACTGGAGCATGGCCAATTTACCACTGAAGGAAATAGTTCTCAATCCCCAGGAACATTTGCCTGCCAGTAGCTCCACAGGGAGGGGCAGGGCCTCCTGAGGCTCCCCACCTCCATGCATACATGATAGGAGGCTGGATCTTGTGCAGGTCTTGTGCAGGTTGCCACAGACACTGAGAGTTCACAAGTGTGAGGGCCCTGCCATATCCAAGCAACAGTGTTTCTCTGTACTCCCTCCCCACCCCCAATTTCTGGCTCTTGAATTCTTTCCACTCCCTCTTCCATAATGTTCCCAAACCTTGGGTGTGTGATAAAAATGTCCAATTTAGGGCTGCATGTTTTACTTAATTTTTTATTATGTTCCTTGACCATTAGGCCGTCAGAAACTTAGTCTATCTTGCTTACCGCTGGATTCCAGAGCCTAATGAGTACTTTGTTTATGTACATTAAATGCTAAATAAATGTTTCCATAAATGGGTGAAAGGAAACGGAGTTGGTATTTTTAACAAGCCTTTGAACTACTCCCTCTTTTCCAATCTATAATTCTACTTTTAGAAGTTTATGTTGAGGAAAACTGAACAAGCTCAAACATTTGTCACTGTAGATATTCATTAAACTGTTCTATTTTAACAGTGAAGAAGTAAATGCACCCCAACTGCTCTACTGGCAGAAATCTGGGGGCATGACTCAAAAGGCTCAAGGAGGACTCTGCTCTCTCTTGGGTCTAGAAGACCACAGACTGGCACCGTCTAGCCGACCTGTAGGTAGAGGAAATTTTCAGCTAGATGGCAGGGTTATCTGAGGTCACTTCTAACCATGGATTCTAATTACAACTCTTCAAATCTCAAGGGCTTAATTTTAAAAGTTTTACAGCAGGCTTTGAACTGTTCCTAGGGCCTCATTATTGTCAGCTGTCTTCACCATGGGCCTGTGTGGAGGGTGTTACAGGAGAAGAGAAGTGGCTGAGGGAGAGAGAAGGAAGAGAAGTATATAAGGCACAGAACCCCAGGGAGCAGACTTTTAATTAAGACCCAGCTGAGCAATTTGCATCAGTGAGTTTCACCCTGGGAAGGAAAAGAGGAGCCTTAGGAAGGGCTGCCTGGTGTGGGCTTGCTCCTCCCTCAGGGGTGGCATTTACAGTAGACATCACAGCACAGATCACAGCAGGTACCAGCATCTTCCTGTGGGGACTCCTGCCTGAGTGTGCCAACACGAGCTTATTGGAATTGACAATTTGTCCAATTAACAAAGTCTAGGTTTATTCATCTGTGTGCTGGGGAAAACCAAAGAGCTTTGACCCCACCTTTTTCTCTCCTAAGACAGAATTATTTTTACCTTGTTCAGCAGGATTCAGAATTCCAGTACTCAATCTTAAGTATATGTGTCCCCTAATCTAAGAACTCCTGAGCTAAAAGTTACTTAAACTTACTTTGTGTCTTCATTTGTATCAATAAGGACACACAGAGGGTGCCTGTAGATGAAAAAAAAGGATGCTTTGTTTAATGTCCCCTATTTCAACTCTACCTGAACCACTAGTGGATCTATTTATTTAATGAACACACACTGAATTCTCTTTATGCAGCATACAAGTTAGCCATTGGAAAAGGCTGCACATAAGCAGAAACAAGAACAACCTCTGTTTTCTTAAGATGTATGCTCTGGATAGGAGTATTCTTGTAGGTATTCCTGTTCCTGCTTCTGCGACTGATTCTAGAAACAGTAGCTGGCCAAGACCTAAACCTTCATGAATCAAACAGGACCTAGTATAAAGAAGACGATGTAGCCCCTCTTTGAGTTTGCACAAATTCTAATAAATGGAGAGAATTCTTGTAGGGAGAGGTTGTTATGATGTTATTGTGATGTTTTGCTGAGGATGCTATGATGGGAATGTATGTAGTATATCTCTCTGCTCATGGTTCTTGGTTAGTAAGCGACAGAAAAGAAACTCTTGGGTCACTTCACAGGGAAGGGATTCATTAGAAAACATTTGGAGAATGCTGTGCCTGAAATGCCCACACAGGTTCTTGCTCTGGATGCTAGTTCCCAGAGGGTAGCTATGTGTTTGGAAATCATGAACCCTTAGGTGGTAGTACCTCAATGAGGGAAGCAGGTCACGTGGGATAGCTGTTGAAGCTCTTCTAGCTTCTGTCATGCTTCACTTCCTGGCATACCAGGATGTGAACAGCTGTCTGTCCTCTGTCACACATCCCCAGTACCATGAATCCCTGTCCTCATGCCTTCAGATGGAACCATCTGAAATAGAAAACCAAAAATAAGTACTTGTTGACTTTTTTTTTTTCTTGTCAGTTTTTTGGTCCTAGATGCAGATGTGACTAAGGCACCCATTGTTGATAGAGTGTGGGGAGGGGGAGATGAGCTTGAACCTGCCACCAACCAGCAACTACACGTTCAAAACCACGGAGGGAAATGCTATGAGGAGAGTTTGGTTATAATGCTACTGATGTAGCCATTGGCCACTTGAGGCAACTAACAAAATGGATCATGATTTTAAGCTATCTGTGTGTCATCTGTTTCAGATTCAGCATCCTGGTGGCCCTGGACTGACTGGCTGAGCTTTAGCTATAAGAGTTGCAGGGAAAGATACATATTGGGGTTTTTAGCTATTGTACTTTGAATAAAGACATTGTTTTTCTCTCATTTAGGGTACCTTAAACAAAATCAGGTATAAATGATGAGAGGGGGAGAGGAGAGG